AAAACACCCAGATGGCACTTCTTCGAGAAGCTGCATCATCTGACAGTATTGAAGAATTTGTTCCTATTTTTTTTCTCAAGTACAACCAAGCGTGGTTTGACGAATCATTTCCTACCCACAACATAGGTAGGTAGGTAGGTATGTCGATTTCCTTATTCAATAAACCGCACCTCCCTAATAGGAAGGCGGTGTGTTTCTGCCGGAAAGTGGGGTTAAATTGAACTAAAACGTATAGATCTTTCGCCCTTCGGGGCATATGGTCAACTGAAAATATACAGAGAAGATTAGCATGGCCCCTGCACTAAGGATGACACGCATAATCAAAGAGAAGCTACCTATTTTTTTTTCTTCACGCGAGCTCAATTAAGATTTTAGAGTACGACCTTTTTATGTATGCTGTATATTATTGTAATGCTTATGTTGTACTGTGTACATGTGGCATGTCACGTGCCATCGCCGTTCGACTCGCCATGTTGTCACATACATTAATTACATTAATTATCAGAACGAGTGGTGGCCATAAAGCGAATCCATCCCCATTCTTCCTAGGGCGATTCAAAATGACACTTTCGGGGTTGTCGATTACATTCTTGACCAGCGAGCTCCTATGCACCCTTTCCTTTTCCAGGAAGCGGCCGAAAACATGTCGTGTTGGAATCATTTCTTAACCATGGGTTCGACATCAACTCGCCAAATAATCCTCCGGCCATCGCATTAGTATTATTTGCCTGATACTACATATATATTAATATAGTATCATATAGGTCGTCGTTTCATAATATGCAATTAACCAAATGGTTCCTAGTCAACGGAGCAGACACTAATCAATGATCTCATAGTTATAAATATTGCACCCCCTTTCCATTGCCTTTCTAGAGGCGGATTTGGAAATCATCCAAGTTTTTCTCGATCATGATGCGTCTCTGCAGCAGGGTCAGGTCATGCATTATGCCGCAGTGCGAGAGAGATGATCGGCTCGAAGTCCTACGTTATCTGATTGCGAAAGACATGCTGGTGAACGATATCATGTATCAGAACTGTGATGATGAGTGCTTTTTCCATATGTACAGCGGGATATCAACTTCTTCATTACGCCGCTGGGAAAGGATTACTTGATTCTGTCAAGGTATTAGTTAATGGGGGTGGTGCTATTCTACTGCAGCTAAGTGGATTCAATCTCCACGCGTTAAGAAAACGTCTCTCCGTTCCCGTGCCGGAGCATCCGTTCCACCCGTCGGAATCGGGGAGATGAATTCCAAGAGTCCCCTAACACAGACTTTTTAAAGGCTAAATCCCCGTAGCTTTTGGTCAAGCTTAGAAATATGTACTGCGTGCTGCTTTCACGTTTTAAGTATACATGTGCTAACCTTAGAACAATGCTTCTGTATTGGCATCATCGATAGACTTGATAACCACGCTTCGAAAACCGTTACACCTGGTTTCTCTTTACCCCTCACAAACCTGTATTATTTATTAGAAAAAATCATTGTATGAACTAGGCGAGCGGGTTTACAGAAGCCTTGATCAATTATCATGGAACCGTGTAATATGTACCAACTGCCTTTGTAACATGATGCACAGAAGAACATATCAGATATGCTAGCTAAAACCAGTGAAACTGCTCAATATAGAATCCCACTGGATGTCTTCGACAGGGATACGTCGCCCAAATCACCGTAGATAGACGGCCAGACTTGGGGTGTCATAGCACTCTCATTGGGGTGAACAGCCGTCATGGACGTATCCTGCCTTGTGTCTCGAGACGGCGCAGTTCCAACAATTGTCCTGATTTGATATGGATAACACCGTGCTAACAGCCGAATTTTAGAGCAAATGCTCCCCACAATGTCCGTCTCTTTGTCTGCAACAGGCATCCCCTCAAATTTCGTCTCCAGCGCATTGGCGAGCTCCGTGACAAGATTGGGATACTCCGCTGCATCAACAACGGCCTGCACTTGGGCTTCTGTGGTAGAGTCGGCGGCTCCAGTAATGAGATTGAGAAGAGTCAATACTGCAGTGGGCATGTACCCCACTGCGGCACATATATGAGCACTTGTAGTTATTGTCATATGGGCGATCTCCGACGGTGGTAGGTTCGTGATCGTGTGAATGAGCTCCTTGCTCCGCTGGATTACACCCATCAGCATTGTTTTCCGGACTGCACTCTCAGGCTCTGCAATCCACAGTTCCTCCCGAAGAGATAATTCCTCGAGCCGCATTTCCACGTATTTGATTTCAGTGCGTATGGCATTCTCTGCCAGGCCGGTCAATCTCCAAATCTCCATCAGCCACTTGGGATCCAAGACACACCTGTTGACGACGGATAGCTCAAGAGGTCTTTTTCTACAGATGCCCTCACGTTATCAAATTGCCGCTGTAGGGAGCCGCGCGTAACTTGGATGAACGCTCTTCCACCGCTTGCTTCTATCGAAGCGTAAACTTCATCCATCGTTGCCAAGAAAGATTGTAGCTGAATAAATGGCGCAATCCACCGATCCGATAGATGTTCGGTAGCTACTATACTCTCAATGCACTCACGGGTTCGAGAATCATGCTTCATCATAATCGGCCTGCCCAGTGTGCCACAGATACTAATATGAAGTTAGCCGAAGCCGCCTCTACCAGCGCGGACACCCTCACCCAACCGACAGCCAATACGTACCGAGCAGCGCCCGCTGCTCATCCGAGGTTGGACTGGGCTTTCTGTGCAGTCCCAAATCATACAAAATAGAAACACAAAGCTGAACCAACAGCAAAAGTCGTGGGTGATATCTCTCTGCAGGATATGAGTACCATGCGCAGTGTACCAACAGACCACGGAGCAACTCGAGATTCCTCTCTGACCGTGCCATAACCCTCGACGTAACGTGGTTCATAATCTCCTCGACGACAGTTTTGCGCAGAGGGTGCGCACTGCCTATGGTCGCGGCCACGATGCACAAAAAGAGAAAAGGCTCTCGGTCCGTGAGACGAGCGGCTGTATCGCCGTGTGAAATCAATACAAAAGGAAAAATGGGCACCAAGTCAAGCTGAAATGCCGCAACCAAGCGTTCAGCCTCGGCTTCGCTCAAAAGCCCTCGATCTACGATAGATGGCTGACCCTCCAGAACAGAGCTGGTCGGCGGGTCGAGGCCATGGGACGGGTCTTTAGCAGCATCTAGTAGCCCGGCAATGTCTGTTGAATCCAACTCTGGATCATGAGATGAGCTCACGTCATTGGTGGGCGGATTAGAAGTAGATGTATCGCGCGGTGTCTGCCCATTCTGTCGGGTCAAGGCAGCCAGCTGCGACGTTAGCTGGTCGACCTTCTTCTCTAGCATCTCCACACGGCTGCATCCATAATTAATACCATAAATGACATATGTACTGGGAAGCATTACCTTGGTGCAGCCTTGCGTTTCCGCTTCGTCTGTGGAAGGTCAAGGTATGTGCATGACTTGCCTAAACGAGCGCACCGCTGACACAGGTTGACGGCCTGCGGCGTGCATTTTGCCTTGGCAGCCGTACACGCCACGCATGCCCTCCTCTTGACAGCAGATATTGTGGCGCTCATGATGTTGTGGACGGAGCGGAGGAAACGGAGTGATCGGTTGATGTGGACGGCCGGTTGCTCAGTTGGACCGGAAGAACCGGACCGTCCGATTCGACCGGTTTGTAATCGAATGTATACTTTCAGGAACTATATAAATATCACAATCGCATTAGCAATAAATCCATCAATTAATCACTGGAATATCTATTTTTTTCACCTTGAATCAAAATAAAAATGTCTTCATATGCTATCACAGGAGCCTCCAAGGGCATTGGCCGCGAGTTTGTGCGCCAACTCTCTGCCGATACGGCCAATACAGTCCTGGCTATTGTGCGAGACCCCGAATCACCTTATATATCTGAGCTCGCCTCCAATCACCAAAACGTGCACGTTATCAAAGGCGATGTTACAGACCCAAAGTCCGTTCTTGAGGCTGCCTCGGCCGCAGCTGCCATCACAGGTGGTAAGCTAGACGTGCTTATCCACAACTCCAACGCCGTTGATATGGCCACCATGTCTTTCAACCCGACCGAGATTCCCTTCGATGCTCAAGCCGTTCGGGCAATTTTCGACCCGCCGCTCAGTACCGGCATCTACGGCAGTCTATGGACGACTAACGCCTTCCTTCCCCTGATTGAGAAGGGCATCCAGAAGAAGATTGTGCATATCTCCAGCGGCATGGCAGATTTGGATCTTATCAATAAGACTGGTGTCAGTTATGCTGTTGCGTACTCTGTTGCAAAGGCCGGGATGAACGTCCAAGTCGCCAAGTACGCAGCAGAACTTGGGCCTAGGGGCATCAAGGTGTTGGCTTTAAGCCCCGGATGGGTTGATACGTGGGAGGGTAAGTGACTTTTTACCTTACTGCGATAATGGTGGGTGCTGATATCATCGCAGGAGAGAAACCCTCTCAGGTAGTAGAAGCGGAGAAGTTCATGCTGAAGCAGTTTCAGGCAGCTAAGCCTGAACTCAAGGGGCAGATTCAGCCCGAGGAGAGCGTTAGAAAGTGCCTCCAGGTAATTGAGCGTCTGGGTGCCGAGACGAGCGGTTTGCTTCTGAGCCATAATGGGGACAAGGAAAGGTGGTTGTGAGGTCTGGATACTGATTAGTTGCAATAGGGGCCATAATTGGGGGTATGTAGTATAAGAATAGGACTATAGCTAGATCTCCCAAAGAGTAGTAGAACGGCCTTCTCAAAGGTTGGAGTGTTTTGACTGACTACTTCTTCCTACCTCTTCTCAATCCTACCTTTTATTAATAGAGACGCATATGGCAGAAAAGTCTTAGCTATTTGACCTAGGAAGGCAATTCACAGGTCTGCCATTTACACTTTACAATACTGTACGCCATTGACGAGTAGCACAATATTGAAAAGGGGTGGCGCGCTGAGGCCAATAGGTCTGCACATTATAGCAGCGCCAGGTTTCGGTATTTTCTTGTATTTGCCACACGAATGGCGTCCCCGACTCTAATTACAGGTTGACAACTGGTCCCGAATCCAATCACGCACTACACTCAAATCCTCTCGATTACCAGCGCCAAACACCACTGAGGCAACGGACTCGGTCTCTGTGACTTCCGCTGAAAGAGTGACAATGACCTGTCCAGACTCCATCCCCGCTGATACCGCATCGTAGATTTCTGAAGCGGGCCCATGAAATGATATCGTCTGCATCTGAGCAAATGGAAGTCCAACGGACAAAACGTGCTTGGAGAAAAGGACAATGCCAATTCCCGCAGCTATACGAGCATTCAGATCCACCACCAGAGGCCGGTCATTGTGGTCAAAGATAACGTCGATACCAACCCAGCCCGCATATGACGACTGTTGCAATGTGCGTGCCACAGCGGCAATCGTGTCTCTGAGATATCTCTCTAGGTCTTCTTGCATCTGGCAATCGATGATCCCGCCTACCCACACACCATTCTTGGTAACTACCTGCTCCGTGGCACCCAGGAAACGTGGCTGTGAGCTTCCATGGCCAAGGAAGAAATTCACCCCATAGTGGGGTCTTTCGGAATGAATAAACTTAAGACACCTGGATATGTATCCCCCCTCTCTCACGATATCGGTGGACAGCATCCAGCATGTGCTGCCTTTCTTCCTCGGTGGTCACAATGTATGAGACCTCCGGCGCCTAGCAGGGCGCTAAACCGAAAAAGGCAGAACTAACCAGAAAAGGAAATTCACAGATCCAACTATTACTACCTTATTAATTAGACTATAATTCCTCTCTACGTTCGTCGCATTCTCGACATTCTCTCGTGCTTTACTTGCCTTGACAAACCTCAATCTGTTAATACATCTCAAAAACATTGCAAGTCGTTTTGGCAGCAGGGTTAACGTTATATCGCTTCCGATAGTTTCGAAATGAGGCTCTGGACCGTTCCAGAAAGGGAATCGGACTGATATATAGCTGGTCCTATGGATTAGCCGTTCCAGATTTATAGTAAGTCTGCGTCCGTACACTTCCTTTCTTTCCTTCTTCGACCTCAAACAATGCCGACTTCGACTATGGCTACACTTGCCAGACTCCCCCCCGGAGCTATTATTGTCAATATCCGACCATCTTCCACTTGTTGACCTTATTTGCTTTTCCCTTTGCAATCATCGACTCCTTGAGCTGTCTCTGGGACAAATAAGCCGGCTGCATTCCACACCAGACGATAAGCTCTCGATCTTGATCCGTTTAGAACGAGATCTTCCAGAATACTTCGCTTGCGATATTTGCAACCTTCTCCATCAGTATGATGGATCTGAAACTTTTGGACTCAGCGGAGTAGCCGATGAAAGAACTTGCCAACTCCCATGTGTCCGAACGGGTGGGTGGTTTGGGCCGTTGCTCACTATGAGAACCCATTGGTTTGCATACTATTCAGCAAGCCATCTTTCTTTCCTCCAGCTTAAGCTTGCTGTGAGAAGGGTTTACTATGGTCCCAGGTATGGGATTAGTACTGATTCTCTATTCTATACACAAGTGCGCCACCATACACAGGCAGACATAATCTCGCTATTCTCAACGGAAGCACAAGTCTGTCCCAAGCCCCTCGGTCTTTGCATCAGGATGCAGGACATAGTGCTCGTCAAAACACGAGACTATCTGACTTTTCCTATGGCTACGTGGTTTGGTCCTGTACCCAATTTCGAACAATGTGCACACTACCGTCTTCTTACTCTTATCAGCCCTGTTATGGAGTCCTTACATGACAGAGAGACGGCCTCTTTCCCCCATACCTGTCACAAGTGCAATACAGATTCCCAGATTGAACTCGTTGAATTAGATTCCAAAATAGCTGTCATCATGACAAGGTGGCTTAACCTGGGCCCTGGCCTTACGAAAGACGACCCATTGTGGAAGAGTCATGTCTGGCTTGGGCCACCTGACGCAGATGGCTCAAAACGGAGTCCCCGCTTGTGGTTTGAACACATGGCACCTCAATCATTCGAGGACTTACGGTCACTTAACCTCTCATATCTCAGAGATGAGCAATACAAAGATGTCATGTCTGTAATTGCAGGACGGAACATTTGGTACATCTCATACAAACAGCCTTCAAAGAAAAGATGAATGGAATTCCTGCGATACCTACTACGCCTAGTCTTTTCGAGGGTCTTACTAGCTTTTCATGTTTTCGTTTTCATATTTATGTATAACCAGGGATGGTTAACTACATAGCGTGCTGATAGAAGCAGTGCATTGGTGCTAAAGGAAGTAAGGAATGCCCATGGCCATATACAGATCTGTAATGATATCGAAAAGTTACAAACACCGGATTCTATCACCGGGTTCTATCATATCAGGTGTTTCCAGCAAGAAAATGCTGAAAAATGTCTAGACTGTTCAAAATCCACCAGAATTGCCAACGGCATACCGACGCGCCAGTTAGGTAAACACAATTTAGAATCGAAGGGGAAACCCAAAAACCCTCCGTCTGAATATAAGACAATTATTTCAGGGTAGCAGGCATGCTGGTCTTGGCCTTTTCAGCTGCAGCATCCACTGCCTTGCGCAATTTGTCCTTCTTGATGTTCTTGAGGTAGGCGAACAGGACGATAAAAAGGAGCTCCATCCTTTGCGAAAGTTAGTACAATCAGATGCTAATTTGGAAACAAAAAACATACCTCTCCTTGGTCATCATCAGCAGACCTTGGACCAAAAGGCCCTTCAGAATCTGAGGTCCAATACCCTTGAAGAGAGAGAAGAGACCCTCATTGTCAACAATGTGCTTCATGACCTCGCCAAAGGTCTTGAAGGGCTTGCCATTCCGGCTGGGCGGTGGGCGAGACTGCAGTCCAACCTTGGCGACGATCAGAGGCTGGGTTGCGATCGTGGCCAAAGCCTTGGACATCGCACCAAGCACTAAGATAATAATTAGCAAGCCATTGTTGACTCGGAGAATTACCACTACTCACGGAAAGCCTCCCAGGGCTTGAGGTTGTTCTTCCCGGGGAAGATGACATCCTTTAGACGCTGATATGCTCCATAGGTGATGGCCGGGTTAACGACCAGGATCAAGCTAGCCTTCAGGCCGCGCCACAGGCCGCTCCAACCGTCCTCGCTGTCGACCACTTCCCGACCCGTCTCGATCAACCCCTTCTTCTCGCCTTTCGGCTGTGTCTGTTGCCGGGTTGTGATAACAGCCACCGGGATGGTGAAAATCTGTGCCACGGCGCCGGAGACGGCGCCCAGGGAGAGCTCAATTGCGGTGCCGGGAGCCTGTGTCGGCTTGGCAGAAGCCATGTAGAGCGTTCTTACGACGCTGTACCAATAGAAGTATGCGAAGTTTGTTGAGGCGACGCCTAAAAGGGCTCCAGCCATTCCCGAGTACAGACCATTATAGCCCTCCTTCTCCACGATCTTAGTGATAGCATCCATGGTCGATTCATAATGTTCGAGGTTATCGGGTTGCGGGGTTCCGTTCTTCTCTTTGACTTGTACTTGTAGTTTCGTCTTGACTCTACAGATCGGGGGGCGTTGAAGTCAGCGGGATTTGATCTGATAAGTTTTATCTGGGTCCTCACAAGTCAAGTGGGTACACCATCGCGTTTGCAAGGACGGCACCTGTAGCGCCCGCCACGGCGCTGCCCCATGGCGACAGCGCAGGTTTGGATTGACCGGCCATGATGTGGGTTAAGGGTATCCGAAAGTGAGCGCAATAAATAAGAATATGACCTGGGGAGAGGGCTCGCTTCTCTTAGCGGCCGGGCGACAGGAGAAATATTGGGCGGGGCTCTACACTGCTTGGCTCCGAACAGCGGAGAAGGTGAAATGGAAGAGAGAGTATAATGGGAATGGGGAAACACACAGATATGATGGTCATACCGAAGTCAACCGAATAATTTAAAAAAAGAGAGACCGAGCTCATGAGCCGGGATTCTCAAATGCAAATGCACCTCGGCGTTCTCACCTTAAAACGAGCCGAGGTCCACTTCGGGGTGCCCCCAGGTGCCCAGGTGAGGTCATGAGCTTAGTCATGACTTCCATTCCATGTGTCTACTTTTTTAGATTCTGAATATGAATGGAGTAGTTGTATATTATTTTGTTCGATTTGTATAGTTATAGAATTGAATATATTAATTATGTATCATCAATATGTTGATCTCTACAAATTCACGTCTCCGAATATTCACCGGAATTAAAGTGGCCTTCTCTCGGCTCAGCCGAATCCGGTAATTTACTTGTTCGATCTGATTACCTAGGTACCTCCACTACATATGTAGTCAACGCAAGTATGTCTAGACCTGCATCCACACAATCCTTTATATCTCAAGCACGGGTATTTTTCCTCTTTTTACTACATCTGAAAGAAGCTAATGATTTGATAGAGCGCTGAAGAGGCCGTAGCCGCAGCGACCTCCAAAAAGGCGGCATTGGAGGCAGCTATCAATGCCGCCGAGCATTACATGAAAGCGCTGCGCCTGGCGCCCGCCGACGATAAAAAGCTGCTAGACACCAAATGCAAGGAACTGCTATCCAAAGCCGAGAAGATCAAGGCCGCTACTGACTGGCAGTCGGCTGCTCGTGCGGGGCCTCAGAAAGCCTTCCCTAGCCTACGGCCGCCGGCATCCACGCGGAAGCTCACCACCCGTGAAGAGATCATCATCCTCGAGGGCGCCAAACTCAACGGTTATATCTTTCCACCATGGAGTCGTCCTCCGCTTCAGGATGAATTTGTATATAAAGGGCAGCTTTTTACGTATGTGGAGAACATGGCTCAAATGCTGATCTGTTCTAACCGGGTATAGGGATACGCCTGATTTACACCTCTCTGAATGCCAGAGAGAAATTTTCGCGGGCTGGAAACGGCCACATGATCTGTTACGGACAATGAATGCGGCCAACCAGGCACATGATGTAATTAATCCAGCTATGTCGGCTTCGGGGAAAACAGACCTCGTGCAGGATGTCTTAACAGACTGTTCAGTGGTCGCAAGCCTTTGTGCCACAACCTCTCGATTGGAGCGAGGTCTCAGGGCAGGTATGAACTTATTTGATCTCACATTGAGAACTCCAAAGCTAATTCGAACAGCACGCATCACCAACACTGTACCCATGCAGTGAGGATAAGAAACCAATACTTTCACAATCCGGGAAGTACATATTTCGCTTTTACTTCAACGGATCTTTCCGAAAGGTAGTGATAGATGATCGATTGCCATCGTCGAAGACTACGCGCTCACTCCATGTGATTGATCGCAATAACTCGAACTTTTTGTGGCCTGCTCTTGTGGAGAAGGCCTACTTGAAAGTCCGCGGAGGCTATGACTTTCCAGGAAGTAACTCAGGGACCGACCTTTGGGTGCTTACTGGTTGGATTCCGGAACAAGTCTTTTTACATCACGACGATTCGACCTCTGATGAGATCTGGGGGGCGTTTATACAGTGCCTT